ATCGTTAAAGTGATATTGTTGAATGCAGTGAGCACTTCAATTCTCTTTCTCCCAACGCTTCCTGAAGCTCAGACAAACTTGAAGGTGGGTCAAAATAGAAAAAAAATATTGTGAAAGAGCAGAATTTCGCAATATTCTACGTACGAAAATGTGTTTAGTTGTTTTTACGTAATGAAACCATAAGCGATGACTTGAAAAATTTATGACCTGAACTTGTATAAAATATATAACTTGAAAAGATCTGTGGTCTTACGGCGGGAGCCTTAGGAACGACAACTGGAAGGTCTTTGGCGTGACTTTGAATTTGATGGTAAGTTGTGACTTTCTTAATTATTTTAAAGAAATCTTTTTGTCATACCAGTGCTACAAACAACGAGCCAGAGACACACTTCAGTTTCAGAAAAAAGGTTTTAGTGACAAAAAAATGAATTGATGGTAATTCCTTGGAATTGAGAGTAACATGAGATATCTGTTTAAATAACCTAACTGTTCTGCACACTCTATATAGTGATCTGAAGTGGATACAGAAAAATAGGTCACCGCGCTTCACAATGCGATATGACCAACGCAGATAATTGTTAATAAACCTATCAAACTGCATGTTAATACTATACAGTGATTTAACCTTCGTCGGGTGAGCACAAATACTATGCTGAAATAACTCTTATTTAAATGACAAACTGCACGTGATGCATTCGTTGTTAAGTGTTTCGTTACTTAGGTTTCTTAGCTCTTGACTTTCTCAGCTCCAGTACAGTCTCCTAGTTTGCGAGCAAGCTCTCATCAGCCCTACGGCACAATTAGCGAAGCTTGCGGGTTTTCGAGGGGGCGGGTGACGAGAGCGTGTAAGAGGCTGGGTGCGCGAAGGATCTGCAATTGTCTCCTTCGCAGTTTATCACTGGTCTGTCACGTGACGTTGCGTGACAGCGCAAAAGTTAGTTATGAAAAAGAAACAATTCAATTTTCATTTCACAGTAAGGTCGCACGTAAATAAAAGGCACCGGTTATATGGAATCGCAGATATATTTTTTTGTACACTACTGAAGGCTTCGTTCAAATTAGCACCATACCATTTTCTAAGATGATTCTTGGAGTCAGTTTAACGACACAAAGAAGAGGAGGCCATTTTGATGCGTGCCTGAGCGAGAGCTCTAAAGTTAGTCTTTTTTGCGCGCAAGAAAATTTATAATTCACAGCGGGGAACAGAGTTACATTTTAATGGCGAAATTCTCAGGGATATCAGGAAAACCTACGTGCCAAATTAGATAACAAGATTACTTCATCAAAGGCAGTTTTCGAATGCGCGTATAAAAAAATACTGAGATGAGCAAAGAAGTAGCCGTATATTCCAGGGCATTTCTCGGTTTTATTTAGCTACATTCAAGATACAACGGGTGGCTAGCCATAATGAACTTAAAAAAATGCATTTTCGCTGCTTGTCGTCTATGAGAAGGAGATGACGATGATCTTTTGGATATTTATAATCTAAGTTTTTATTTTTTAGCCAGAAATGTGCATTTTTTTTAAATACATCTTAGGTAGCCCAATATCAGCTATTATAATTCAGATTATTCCCCTCCACAGGAAATGGGCAACTAAGCCAGGCGAATGCAAAAAAGAAAATAACAAAAAGGAACTGCTTTCAAATTTAAATCCGCACGAAAGCAAATTTTTATGTAAACTATGTGGGATGGAAAAGGGAGTTGCATACTCCTTTTCATCTAGAAATATCACGTAAAAAACCCACACAAAGGGTCTGTATATTCATAACTGACGTAGTCACTCACCTTTACTATATTATTCCGCATCACAACTTCAGTTTAGCTGATCTTTAGAAACGTTTGTTCATGCTTCCTTACTTTCGAAGTATTAGATAAATTACAACTTACAGGGAAAGTTTAAGGCAAGTTTACGATTTTTTCAGTTTAAGCGAGATATGAGCTCTATGAACTGAATTTTTAAAACGAAGTTGCTAATGTTTGCATCTATGGGGTACATTATAGTCGTTCGTTGACAAAAAAGTACTCGCGTAGTTTTAACATTTTTCGAACGAGTGAACAGACAGCCCTGATTAGTAAATCGATACTATAAGAAAGTTAAATGACTTATCGGTAAATTATTGATCGCAACATCTTCCCTGTATTTCTACTTTACCCACTGTCATGCTCGATCGCGCTTTGTCAAGTTGCGAATTGAAAAAATTCTGCGCTAACGTTTCGTCTTATGCAATCTGCTTCAGTCTCACACATCCTCAAACATCTTTACACCTTTCTAAATTATTCACAACTAGTTTTTTTTTTTAATAAACCAGCAATTAAAGTATTATCTAGAGTATTATTTCGATTTCTAACTAAAATCTGAATCAAAGTTTAGAACTACGTATTAAAGAACTGGTCCAGAACATATCGTGACGTTGGTGTACCAGCCAACTCAGTCCATCTGACGCGTGCAAACATGTTGGGCGTGAGCAGAGGCGTGCGCACGCGCACGTTGAAACCCAGCCTGAGTTAAAATGTCGTTAATAGTTAAGGGGGCTGTAGTCAATGACTTATAACTAAACCACTGACTCATCGAGGTGGGATTATTTTAAAAGGAGCTAAGATCATGCAAGACGTGATTAAAAACTCAAGTATCTTAAAACACAAACATCTACATGACAGTTCCACACACGCCTTACAAGCAAACCCACATGCCTTATATTGTATTACATGATGCGTTTTTTATCACAAGTTGTCGAAGTTCAGCGAAGTCAGATGCTGAAGAACGGAGGTTCAGCGTGTACACTAGGTAAGCTTAATTTTTTCATGGGTCTTAGCGAGCGATTCAGCTGGTTGCCATGAACAACGTTACATTTGATCTGCAAATTAAAGAAACAGGAAGTTCAGATTAAGGCTAAGACATTAGCAAAATTAAAGTTCGCATACTACTGCATGGTTCGCCACAACGACCGGCAATCAAGGAACTTGAGTCAACTTCAAGATCAATTATTTTGTTCTAATTCAACTCAATGTCATAATTTTTTGGGCATTATTATTTGTGTTAATTCTTAAACCAAAATGGTAGTTTTAAAGTAAATCTACTATTAATTACTCTAGCTCTTTTTAAAAACAAATGTTTAATCGCAAACCGCAAACAACGCGGTAAGTTCAGTTTAAACCAGTTTAACGGTTTTTTGTTCTTTTTCCTGATAGCTTTAGGGACTAGCATCAGATTTTGTTTTTGAACCCAGCAAATTAGCATTTGTCAACTAAATGATCTGCTGTAGTCAGTCAATGACAATCCGTTTACTCTTCTCTCTTTTTTTTTTTTTGTTATTGAGCTGTTTGTAAAACTTTTATTCGCCTCTGCGTTCGGTCGAGTCTTTCAAAATGGCCGGTGAGTTCTCTGAGGTTTATCAAGATCCGAATTCGAACTGTAAGTGGTCGGATCAAATGTAGGTCGTCCAAATAGATTGCGCAATTGCAATCGAAAGCAGATTAATTATGTCGGTCTGAAAGCATATTACATACAGCGTCAAATAGATGTGGATAAAAAACGATGGTAGCAGATTACGAGTCGACAGTCGCTATTTCAAATCCTGTTGACCAAATAAATTTATTGAGCCTCTCATTTGAAGCTTTTTTGAAAAAATATTGTTGTCATAACACGAGCCGAACACAAACACAGATAATGAACGGGTCGCCATTTTCGGCTTATTCGCTACTCAGGTTTTTTTCAACTTCATTGTTAAGTGAGAAGGGCAGATTAGTACGTAGGACGAGGATGAGGATTTTGTTTTGGTTAGATCAGTTTTTCAACTTAAAAGCTATTTGAAAAAGTCGATCAAAATTTGCTTCCTGAGGGGGTATGGTGCTGAAGTAGATGCAGTTCACGGGTTGTTTTAAAAAGCCTTAAGGCACCGGTGGTAGGGGCACGTAAAACGGCAAAACGAAGTGTGAAAGAACAAAAGGACCTTGTGGGTTGAGATTTGGGCGCTCAAGCGTGGGACAGTTCTTAACCACCTCTCGGTGGCAGCCATTTGAATGTCAGTTGGAGATTTGACTGATATAATAGGTGCCTTGGATAAGGCTGGAGATAATGCGAATCGCGGTGAGATTCAGTGCGTACTGAGAAGCGATTCGGTTTGAAAAAATTCAAACAGGAAAAGTAGTAAATCGAAGTCTTTCTAAACCGATCGAGCAAATGTGCTGAGTAATAATTCAAACATTACTTAACAATCAGCGAAATTATACATTAGCATGTGTGCATTTATACATCAGTTCCATGGCTAGAGAGGATTTCCGTATTTTTACTGGGAAAGCGGAAGAAAAAGCGAACGACAGCCGTCACATCGCGACTAAGCGACTTTAAACAGCAGATGAAAAACAGAGCTATTTTTAAGATATTGTTAAAATGATTTTTTTCATTCGGACTCAGACACACACTCAGTCATTCGGGTGGATATGTAGGCTGCATTTGAGGTCGTTTTTTCAGAGTCGGCGTTTGGAAGGCCGAGGTGGACGTTTTTTGAAAAACACAGTCATGTCTTGAATAATAACTCTGTCTTAAAAAAAAAATTTACGTGCAACTGAAATATAACCTATTTTAGTGGTCTACGACAATAGCAACCTGAAAGTGTTAATGTCTAAGCCCATATTCTCCGACAGAAGGGACAGAATTACACCAAGCCGTAATAGCTATTATGCTGAACGCGCGACTAATCAGAAATATAGCGACAATATTATGTAAACTATTAAAATTTCTGCGATGCCATAGCAACTTTATTACAACAGTTTACTCTTGTTGTACATATTAGCGATGAAGCTATTCTTTCGTTCTGTCGTTTTTTGTTCTTATGTAAGTCTCTGTTTCATGCTTTGCGGCAGGATATAACCGTTAGCGATGCAAGAGAAAGTGAAGAATCTGTTCACCATGTTAGCGCGTGGGAGGTACACTCGCGCCTTATGCATTGTGGGATAAAATATTCCCGCGTGGGAGTTGCACGTGGGCCGCCAAAGAAAAATCTGCAGTACTCATGAATGAAATTGACAGAGTTTTACTAGAAGGCGTTGTAGGTTTCGGGAGAGGATGTTCTTTATTGCGAGATCGATGCCTTGATGGGAGGAATTCCGACAATTTTCACTCGCGAGAAAGAGAGACATATCGTGTTGTGGTACTCGATGGTGTGACAGCTCCTTGTTCATCGAGTAGTCCCGGCAAATTCAAACTTAGATTATCCATGCGAAATATTCTCATTGATAACTGATTTAAAGGATTGTTGTGGTCTTTTAAACGACGGTAGAAGGATTAGGGTGGCCATTTGGGGAGAGAAACAGTGAGGAATTTTCAAGTAAGTGCAAAGATCGATGTGTGTAGTTTGTAGTTCACCAAAAGAATGCAAGTTAGTCGCACTTCGATCGTAAGAGCTCGAAATGCCACGGACTCACTTCAGAACAGCGTGCTTTTATTTACATTGATTAAAATTTCTTGGAAAAAGCGCACCAAAAATTTGTTTCAAGCCGAAAAAAAAACTTTTAAATGTCAGAGAGATTTCCAATGGGATATTGCAATGTACTCTACAATAGTGCCAAATAATAACAGTCCAGCGGAATTCCGGTAAAATGTCTAAATCTTGGCTTCAAAGACTTTGCATATAGTTGGGATTTACGACTTCCTGTAGACTATAAATAATTTCAAAACATTTCGTAATACTCTTTGGAATATTAACGAGCTTTCACGAGGTTAAAGTTCTTTCTATAAAGAACTTTTTAAGAAATCAGCTGATTGTAAGTTAAGACTAAGCAGACATGGAAATTAACAGTCAGGAAGTCTCCTTCGTAATATTTTTTGCAGTCAGTTCGTTTGAAACTAACAGCTAAACTCTGTTTCCTTTTTAAATACAATCACATGCTCGACATTTTGTCAATATCATGAAATAAAAATATTTGATAAAGGACTTATTAAAATTTTTGGAGTGGGTCTGCTAGGATATTGAGGAAGTTGTATGGTGTTATTGAAGAACTGATGCACGTACTGAACACCTTTTTAGATAGTTTTTCTGAATAAGTTACAGCGAATAACTCAGTTTCCACGAGAGTTTATAAAGTTATTTTTTTATTTCTTAATACCATCAGTGATGAGTGTTGGACAAATCCTGTGGTTATTGCTGATTATAAAATTCATTGTGAAGTTAGTACATACGTACAGTACTTGTGATAAGAATAGCGAGTCTTTCGATATTTGTTACCCTTCAGGAGACTATTTCATTCAAAATGATCTCGAAAAGCTGGGTATGAGAGATTAAAATAGCATTTTAACCTTCTCCTGGCAATAATGTAGACAGTATGACTTAATACACAGTGAAATTAATGTCTAAACCTGTTAAAGCTAATTATATACCAACTTCCAAAAACAGTTTCATGTAATATGATGCACACAGCATTTTTATTGGTTGGCATTGATAAATGATAGCTGGACAGGAAGATATTGGGCACACAAAGCAGGAAATTGTAATTTCTTGAGGCTTTTCTTATGATAATGAGAGGTGACTAAAGCCAGACAGCATCTTCCTGTATTCAGCAGAATGAAAGACAAAACAAAACATAACATACCTTACTCACAAAGGGGAGTATCACTATAGAGACATGTTAACAGTGTGAACATATAAATGTAGTCGACCAATATTTACTGGAACCATTAGGATAGTCAGCCAGTGTCTTATGTTTAGATGTCACCCTGCTCTGGTGACATACAGATCTCAGCAAACAATTGAACATATGGCACTCTCCTGTCACTGTATTGGTTAAACCCATCGGCTGTCTATCACCCTTAATACATGTGTTGTCTGAGTCTATCTGCCATACGCATGATTAGAAAAGCAAAGGCTGAAAATATTAATTTTCTGGTGCAGATGCTATGGCTTGCAACAGTAGGTTCAAATTGTTAATAATTTACTTGACACAATATGTTTGGAGCACCTTCAGTTTGTTTGTTATGTGAAAAAACCCTTAGGCTAGGTCACTTCCTGAGCTAAGAAAAAAATCATAAATAGACATACCTTCAACTCCACACTCTCAGTCACTCATCTTGTCTAGCAGAATAGCTAACTAGCATTGATGTATGTGAAAAGAGATGCAAATAGTGTATAGATCACGACTGGTTTTGAGGAGGAGGAGTTGCCATGTTTACTAGGTTTGTACATTGTAAGCCATAAAAACCACAATTGCTAACTTATAAATATACTATTCCAGCTGATCCAGGTTTACAAGAGAGATTTCGCTCGACAAACTTTCTATCTTACTTGAAATGGCATTACAGCCCTAAAAATATAATTACGAGGTGTTGGTTATCGAAGTGTAGTAATACTTTCCTGTGATAATCTTCAGCAGAGATTTCAAAAGAAGAGACTTGGAATGTTATGCAAGTAGAGTTAAGAAATACTAGAAACACAGAATGCAAGCTGCAAACAATTTAAATTTACCAGAGAATGGCTGATAAAATTTAAATTTTTAGCATCCTCCCACTCGTCTTTACTGTTTAACTTAAATGGTATTATTGGAATAACCCCATGTGACATCTCTCTACACCCACCTCTAGGAATGTGTTATCTAAAACAATGGAAATTTTTACCTTACAGATCATTACTGATGATTTTTGCCATATACATAGATGAAATTTTGCCTATAATGCTAGCTTGATATTTTAGAAATACAGTACCTCATTAAGTTTTTCTTTTAAACTTAAGTTGTGATAGTTTTGCTCAATAAATAAAAAAAGCATATTTTAAGTTTAAAATACTCCCTATAAATAAGACAAATATACATTTAAGTTAGAGAAAATTTACAGTGTCTAGGAGGGGCGAGGGAGGGAGGGAGGGAGGGAGGGAGGGAGGGATGGGTGGGCAAAAGACAGCTTTAAAATCCAAGATGCAGTCAAAACCAAGATGCAGTTTAAGGGTCTGGAGTCAAGCCTCCTTCCCTCCCCCTGAGTGTTCAGAAGAGGCTATGAGAAGGGAGGAAACAGTTGTCTTTTGCTTTTGAAAAGTACTTCTCAAAAATACTCCTGATGCTAAAATGTCACAATACACTCACCCAAACACAACTATCAACCAATGAGAGAGTGTGTACTATCTCAATCATTTACTAATGAAAGTTGTGATTATTGTTTGTATTCTGTTTCTGCAACAGAATTTTCTGTATGTTACCTTAATTTTTTTTTTTAAGTTTAATTCTGCCCTGCAATATGACTTTTACCCCTTTAAGTAAGGTAAACAGGGAGTAAATATCATATGTTAACAAAAATAAATGTTTCTTCATTAATTTTCCAGAAAAAGATTTAAGTCTCCAATACACAGTGGAAATTGTGCTGGATTAAAGATATTTGAGAGAGGAGGAAACCTGTTACAATCTGAAGGTACAATTTCTTTTGATATTTCACCCTTTACATTCTACCATCAGAATGTATATTCTCCATACTGTTCTCCTTACATTTCATATGGTGCTGACAAGGAGAATTTGTTTAATAATCAAGAGCTTCTTTAGTTGGTGATCATCTCCTGTTTTCTCATGAGCGAAATGTGTGTTTCAGGGGTGATATTGTAAGGAGAAATTAGATGCTAGTCACTCTTAGGAGTCAGTGAGTTAAGCAAACATGTTTACTACGTGTACATAGATTTGGTGACTTTCATTGAGTTTTTGTCTGCCTAACTGGCCTTTTCAAAATATTACAAGAACGAGAACTGTGTCTTCTTCCTAGCTGTGGCTCTTGCTGTCTTGCTGGGACGTGCAGTAATGCATCACACCACCTGTACCTCTCCAAGTCAAGTACAAGGAGAGGAAGCATGTTAGATGAAAAGCAAAACTGTTGCTGTTTGGGAGAGGGAGGGGACTTTGAGAATTTAGACTTGAATCACATTTTGTGCTGGGATGGATTTCCTTGCATAATAAATGCAGAGCCCCACATTGAATTAATTCTCTACACATTGCACTTTCCTGGCAACAAACTAGAAGGAATTAAGAAAACTGCAACAAGAATTAACCAAAATGTAATTCCATTTAGAGCATAGATGTTGCAATTATGTGAGCACTGACCCCTTCCCACAGCAGTGTTGGAGTTTTGATTCACAAACCATTGATATCATCAGTCAGTGAGATTTTTTTCCTGCTATGAGTTTTTGTCAGGGCTCTCTCCTATTTTTTCTCTTCCACTTCCCCTCCCTCTCATAAAGTCAACAAACCAAACCTTTAATCAACTTGGAAACAACCATCTAGCTTAAACTCCTGGGATAGGGAAAGGCATTCTGGGAGTTGACCCTTTTAATATCACTTGGAACCAAAATGGAACTTCACCGCCCAACAAGGAGAAAATCGGGGAGGAAAAAATGGAAATCATTAATAAAGAAGATATTGTTAGAATTAAACGCGAAATTTTCAGAACTAAAATTGTTTAAAATGTGGTAGAGACAGTGCAGAGAAGTTACAGTTAGATCATGGAAGCAATGTAGGGCTTTGTAAAATGACCAGGAACACAAGACAATGACCTTTGCCTGGATTTACTATCAACTTTGACCTTCTGATGCGCGCCACTCTCTCTTCTATTTAATGGACTGAAAACGTTTTTGGATTTTTTCTGCACTGCACTTTGAACCACCAAGATCTGTAAAAGCTCTTTTTGAATTAAATATTGTGTTTGCTGACCAAAACTCTGATGCAGAACAGTTGAGTAAAGAGAAAGTAACTCAGATGTCGAAATGAGAAAGAAAAAGCAGAGATGGTTTAACTTCTCTTTTCAGTAAATTGGCTGGTACGAGTTTCTGTTGGTTTACGGCCAAACAAGGAAAGGTCAAGAATCAAAGTTTTTAGTTTCTATTACTGTAAATTGGCTATTAGATTTTCTTGTTTAAGTCATCCATACTGTAAATGCCAGCGCAGTTCATACTTTCCTAAGGACTTCCTCAAACAATTTCTGAGAAAGTGGTTTTATTGCAACATCGTGCAGTAAAACAGATAGGAAAGTGCGTCAAAGTGCCAATTTAGAATGCCATGGATGGTTTTCTTGGAATCACCTACTTTCAGGTTTCTGACGAAAAATTTCTTCAAATCACTATTTCGAGTTAATTACCATTATGCAGTGTCACGATTTAAATCTGATATTAACAGGCAAACATTCTGTTTTTGGCTAGACTTAATACCCGGTAAAAGGTTTTTTTTAAAACTACGTTTTCATTAGTTGTCCACACGGCTAAATTTTTAGGTTGCGCGCGTATTGCTTAAAGAAAAGTATTAACAAACAAACGTATTTTGCAAACGATACTATTCCGAAAGTTATTAGTTCAGCGTTAGCAGTTTCGTGGATTACAGACCATATAAACTTGCTCATCTTCAAATTAAATTAATTTCGGCGAAGTTGTCTACAGAGGAAGCACTTGAAGCTGTTGCAAAACCTCATGTGTGCGCGCGGAGTGTTAAGTAACCGAGTATATCACGCGAGTACTCTGCGCGAAATAAACTCACTCTTCGCGTTATGGAAAAAAAATTATACGCCCCATTTATTTGGTGGTTTTAATGTGTAGTTATTCACGCTAAACATGCATGTTGTGTGATACTGACGGAAATGTGATCTATTTATAGACTATTTACGAACAGAAGATGGTTCAGTTCCGCTATTGTGACGAGTGATTACACAACGCATGTTACAGCACTGCGTTTGGGGACCTTGACGCCGGAATAAGCCGAAGTGTGAGGTAGGTTTCAGTAAATCTTATACGACATGTCTTGAGATGTCTTTATATCTATATAAGGAATAAAATCGCTGTAGCATAGCGTTTAAGACGGATTAAATGGGCCTTAAACAGCTTGGAATAACAATAATAGGTCGGTGGGTGAAGTCTGGGTTAAGATGAATTGAGAGATTTTTTTCGACACTGTGGAATTTTTAATGTATTCTTGAAATTTCGCGAATCGACTTTTTCAGCGGTGTTTCTTTGTCTTGGGAGTTTTTCTGTGTGTAAGTTATTTTTAGGTCTTCCTTTTAATCGACACCGTAATAAAAACTTAAAAACAGCGTGCTACCGTTAAGATACAACTAAAACTTTCCCTCTTGGAATAGTTTACATGTCTATCTAATGCGTTTATAATACCCTTGGCAAATTGATCGCGCGTGTAGCAGGAAAGTCTATAAACAAGAATTCATATCAAGGAGGAACTTATGACTCAGCTTCCTTGTTTCGAATCATTCCAGCTGCAAACCATGGCACCCGTCAAAGCCTTTTTAAAACTGAGAGAATTCTCAAAGTGTTTATAGAAGTCGGGGCATCATCCGACTGTTTAATTGCATCTGCATTGGTTTTGTTAAAGAAGGACTTTCTTTACACGTTCTTGAGGTAAAGTTAATTAAGTGAGGGAAGTTTTGAGAGATTAGACGATAATTTTACTTTCCGCCTAACGAACGAAATAGCGGAAGCAAATAATGTTTTTTATGACAGTCCTAATACTCGCAGCCATATGGTCTTTTCTTTTAGTTCTCGTCATATCCGTATATTTTCCACACATTCGCTTACTTGTGCTTGTGGAACTACGCTGGCGTTTTCTGCGCTCAGTTTGGGAGCAATCTCAAGTGCTGAAGTAATTTTTCAGTAGTTGCTGCATATATTGAAATAGTTTGATAGACATTAACTTCCGGCACGAAAACTCGGTCATTCAAAAAGTGGACACATCTAAACACAAATGCTTAGCAAGAATCTTAATATCTGTCACCAATCGAAGACATTATATGGCAATGAAGGTATTCATATCCGTATAAACACAATTTGTGAATGAGTACTTGACAATCCGATGGAGTAGCAATTTTATTCAGCTATTCTTTCTTGGCACATGTGTCAGTCAGGATGCAAATGAACCAATAAAATATACATGGCTAGCGGATTTCGACTTCGTGTCAAAATCCTTCGTCCTTTATTAAAAATAATTTTCAAGGAGATTTTGGAGTTTCTATGGAATCGGTCTTTTTCATGATACTTTGCACAGATCGGAAAAAGAAATTTCACGTGACTGCTATCATTCAGAGGAATAATGCCTATGAACATTTCCGCTTGCATCTTACAAGATGAATACAAAAACAAAGTTAATGATAATTTGATAAGTCATTCAGAGTTTCCCACTTCAAGTAATAGAGCAAATTAAATAAGATATAAAGGTAGCCATAATTATGTTGACGATAACTCATAAGAATGGTAAATTCAGTTGAAAATACATTCAAGGAATCGCGTACACATTGCAATAACACGTAACGATTGTTAAGTGCAAATTCCATTGTCAGTGGCAGTTCTCACATGCACAGCGATACCTTCTTGGTCGTTCTTCATCAGCTTTACTTCACGTCTGAAAAACGGCAACAAAAAGAGAAAAAAAAACAAACAAACAAAGAACTTAAGTAGAGCTATTTTAAACGATGACCCTGTGAGTGTCGAGACTAAAAAAACGAGATTTTCTAGGAAGATAGGAAGAGGGCAGCCATCAGACCACTTGTACTAAGATTTGCGAATGGAAATAATTTGTATCGCTGTGCAACTGGTAATTAACTTAGCGGGAGATATCCTTATAGTGATTAGTTAGCTCGATACATCTTCGCAGTCAGGGGAAGGCGATCATTCAATTCGACAAAGTAAGCTTAGTTAAACCAAGTTTCGTTATAGTTGTTATGTCTCGGCTGTAAATTTATTAACCGTCCAGTTTCAGAGTCCACATGGTCTAACAGGGTTATTTAAAGAACATTTAAGCGCCAGTTGCTATAGCGCTGCTCGTAGGAATGAACCAGCGCTCAACGCAATACATCCTCATAAATTTGTAAGTCGTCGCGTTTCAGACGTGTGTCCACCAGAGCCTACAAGGTTTTACAGAGTTATTTAAAGAACATTTAAGCGGTAGTAGTAACGGTGCTAATCGCAAGAATGAATCATCGCAATGCGTCCGCGTAGTTTTCGTGTTTCAGACGCGTGTCCATTAGAGCCTACAAGGGCTTACAGGGTTATTGAAAGAACTATAATTTGCCTTATTTTAGGCGCTAAAGGCAAGAATAAACCAACGAAACGCGTCCTCGCTTCGATCAAAGTTTAAGAGGAATTCACCTGCTGAAGCCGACCGCAGTAGTTTGAGTGGAATTTATACGGACCTGTAACAGTGTTTTTTGTACGGTAAAAAAGTCTCATACAGTAAACGCTTGATAAAGCTTGACAAATCAAACCGGAAAAGTGCAATAAAAAGCGGAGAAGATTGATAAGGTCCGCAAACAAGCACCATTTAAGTATTTTGGCTCGTTTCCTATTTTTAAAGAGGTGACGGTAAAGTGGCGTGATAAAGTTTGAGAGCAGACTTCGATAATTCTCGAAGCGAAGCAGACAATTGACGTGGAAGATAATGAATGCCAAAGATTACGAGAGAAAAATGCATAAATGGAAATGTGATCGCAAGTAAGTTATTTTAATTTATCACATTTGGCTTGTGGATAATAAGTTACAAGGAAACTGTTATGAAAGCAAAATGCATAAAGCAAAGCTTACGAAAAGAATTGAGACATCAGCGGAAGTAGCTCCAACCCATGTTTCCTAGATATGAGTTAGGCGCTAAACCATTTCAGCTTAAAAGGCAAGGCAATTCCAGTGAGTTCTGTTTACCACGCATATGATAATCATGAAAAAAAAAAAACATGCAAAAATGATATTTTTCTCTGTGCGAAGGGCCGTGTTTTTACACCGTTTCGGCCTGTCAAAACTCGCAAGCTTTAAACGCAAGTTTTTTTTTTCTGGCATGTTTTCCAGACCGCCACTCGCAATGTGTCAGGTTGTTTTCCCGAGCAGACGCCGGAAAATCCTTCTCAAAATCATTTTTCATACTTCTGTTGTTGTTACAGAGGGGTTTTTTTTGTTCTCTGTTGTTTTTCAAAGTCTTTTGTTACTTTAAGTTACTTCCCTATACGGATAGCGTAAACGTCGTGATACAATTTCTCATCGTACAGTAATAATTTCATCTTCCGTTTTTCTAATGCGCTGAATTCTGTTACTGATCCTTGAAAGTGAAAGGTGGAACTAGAATTATGTTTTTTTAACCACCTTCTGCACACCGCAGAAACGTTTTTCTACGGAACTTTTTCCTTATTTGGCAAAAGCGTAGTTCGTGTGGGAAATAGCGTGTGATCGATGATGAGAAGAGTTGCTATCACCAGAATGTGACTCAACAGCGTCAAGTTAATTCAGGCGTGGGCAGTAGTTTATTTTCTGCACTATATCTTCGTGTTGCACTCGTCATGTTCTCACGGCTTATAGCGTTGCTAACAACGGAACATGTCTCCATTGTGTCTTATTATGAAAGGCGTGGGTACTAAGGTTTCTATTTGTCACGTGGAATTTAAGGTGAAAACATTTTCTCAGTCTGTTACGTTACGTCATTACGGCTTTGAACCAACTTGATCGAAATAATAACAGAGATTCAGTGGTTTCCTGAAGATGAACCAAAGAAATTAGGCATGGTTTTCCCATGGTAACGACTGATGAAATTGGAACGCTTGTTTTAAAAAAATCTGATATTTCAACTCGACCTAGTTTTAGTTCTTTCATTTTTAGATGTATCAATGTCACATTTCGTTGAAATAGAAATTCATCGAAACCATTGAGGAGGAAGTTTTAGGCAAACTCCAACTACAAGTATTTTCCTTCTCCGCCATATCCTATACGTTTGGTAATTGAAAGCTATGGTTATTAAAAGCGAAAGCAGGAAAAAATGTCAACTAAACTTTAGCCGAAAGAGCGTTCTTTCCTCAACGTAAGAAATCAGGTTAAAAATGAACGCGATTATTTTGACGAGTTAATTTGCTGTGGGAAGTAGACTAAATAAACGGGATGTCTCAGTGATAGCTAAGGAAGTTGGCGTTCCACTCACCGGAGTCGTCAAGGCACAGCGAATGATGGATAGTTTTGGGGATGTCAAGAACAGTGTAGATGTGGCATATTTGGTAAATCACAACACAAAACTCGTATCTCATAGCAATTTGTCTATTCCTAGAGAATTTTTTACAAGGTCAGTTACTGTAAGGGAAAGTTTCTGCTCTCAATGCCGACAAAGTCCCTCACTTTCTCTTTAGAGACTTCCCGTCTTTCTTTTCTTCCTGTTTTAATTACCCTCAGTGCAAAATAGGAACAGTCACGGGAATTTCATTTTTTGACGGTTTTGTTCCAGTATAGTATCGCTAGCGGGTCATGTTAGGGAATGAATTCACCGGAATGCGAGCGCCGTTTCGATGGATGTCGAGGAAGATGTTCTGTTAAAGACTCATCTACGTAAATCCAGGTATATAGAAAATGTAGCTTTATTGTCAACATGCGATACTGTGAGAATTATCGAACAAGTAACGGCGAGGAAGAAAGTGTACGGGCGATTTACGAAGTTCATTTTCCATTCTACAAAATTACTAACAACAATTTCTGCCACTAGTAATTGTGCTTACATATCGGTTTTTTGTCAACCTTCCATTCGTGAGTCGGTAGTTCAAGTTGCCTTAATTTTTGCAACGGATGTCGCGGAAGATGTTCTGTTAAAGACTCATCTACGCAAATCCAGGTATACAGAAAATGTCGCTTTATTGTCAACATGCGATACTGTGAGAATCATCGAACATTCGAAGAAAGTGTACGAACGATTTACGAAATTCATTTTCTATTCCACAAAATTACTAACAGCAATTTCTGCCTCAGGTTACTGTGCTTACATATCGGTTTGTTTCAACCTTCCAATCGTGGGTCGGTAGTTCAAGTTGCCTTAACTTTGCAACGGCAAGATTCTTTATAGCACCGGCGTTTTTGTGTTTTAGAATCACTTTATAGCCGGCATTGTATAAGTAAACGGGCTTTTGAAAGTAGCGTTAATTGCTTGTGGTAAAAGCGTAGCTTAATTGGGTGCATAAAGGTCAATAGATCGAGATTTTGAAGCCTAAGAAAATTTCTCATGGTAACGTGTAATTTGGGTAAGATACGTTACCACCTCACGAACTCTTTGATCTACAAGTCTAATTGGCATTGGTAAATTGTGTGTCATGGCAACCGGTTAAGGGGAAAATCCCAGGATGGACTAACACCCCACCAAGACGGAACAACACAAAGTGAGAATGCGGGGCATGTCTCTTAAAAAATTTAACCCCAGTTTGGTTCTCTTCTTGAACTGAACCAGTATAGTAGTTTTTATTGACCCTCCGCCTGGGAGGGTATTTTGAGTTAGTTAACAACTCTTTGCGAGGAACTTCGGCCAGACAGCGTTGACCAGTTTACAATATTTTGAAGGAAATTTTTGCAAATGCCTCCAATTTCGGAATCAAATTTCCTAAAGAGGAATGATAGCTAGGGCATTTTTCCTCTGCCGTAGAACGTACCCATTTCTACACTTCGTTTCTAAAATGTGAAGAAACCTCAAAAGACCTACACGATCTAAATTTATTTCAATTTTAGACAGAACGATAAAAAAAACATATTCTTTGGAGCAGCAATATCTACATAGTCAACAACAAGGTGTGCACCCTTTACTTGGAAGTAAAATTACCCCTAATTTGTTTCACGCTAAGATTATCGGTGTATGCCACTTAATTGAGTGTTAGGGAAGGCTTGAAGTCATCGTATTTTTCTCCCGAATGCATCTGATCGAGAAGAAGAAAGACGAGAAAAGGTTTCGAGTCTACACGATGTTGGGTTCAAAAAAAAATCTTTGCAGTTGATACTCCTACATTTGTGGTAGGTGTGCGTGAGTGTCTCCCCCGTGTTAATCTACTCTTGTTAACGATCAAGTTAAGATTTGTAGCCTGCGAAACGTTACTTCCGATGCACCGGTGTTCATATGTAGGTGACATATTTTAGTTATTAAGCATATTCTTGGTGAACAAGTTTAAAGCTGGTTTTAGTTATACGGAGATTGCAACTCGACGTTACATGATAGTGCAGCGGTGAGAGGCTTACATTTTGAAATTTTCACTCAACAAAATGTTTATTTTCGTAAAAAGACGTTGCAAAATTGAGATGGCCAGGTCGGTTTCTATTGAGCTAAAACCAGCCAAATTAACTCAAATTAACCAGCCCTTAAGCTCGCCACATAAATCCACCTGCTCAGATCAAAATAGCATGCCCCGTTTTAGCTTTGCGCATACAAAGTTGTTATTCTCCCGATTATCCTATCGGCGGAACAGTTACACATCTGAAATGAAAGAAACAAGTCTATCTTTTAGAGCGCACTCTGTAGTCCCTCGACGTTTTGTCAAGGAAGAGGCTTAACTGATAAGCGTCAGTCGTGGCCACGGAACCGGAATAAACGCGTGCAGAAAATGGCCACTCTTCGTGAAGTGCCCGCTGGGCAAGAACGAAATGCGAGGCGTATGAGGTACAATGAAAATGCACGACACATAGTCATCAGTTAAAAGTCAAATTGCATTGCAGTACAGGCAAGCAGTTAAGAACACGAAAGTGCACAACAACACTACACGGTAATGAACAAATTCTCGTCCGAAAAGATATTTTCTTCTGTAATAATTTGGTTGGGTGGTGTGTTTGTCTCATCACCATTCTGGTTATGAAATAAAATGCTTTCTGCGTGTTTTGTCTATCAGGTAAACGCAAGTTGTCGAGTTGTGTTATTTTCGACCATTTTTCGCGATATGCTTGCCGCTTTTCTCATTAGCTACATGACCTCTGAATTAAATCTTCTTGAGAAGTAGATATGCAGTTTCAATTCGAGCTTCATCAGTCTCGTCGCTAATTTTGATGAGCGAACGCTTTTTAACTAACGTCCTTGTTTGGCCTAAGCATTGACTGTAAGAAAAAAAAAAATAAACTCAAAACTCATGCAGCTCTCTTCAGATCGGACTGCTTTTACGGCTGCCATTTCCTCGGGCTTTGAGCGCTGATTGAAGAAACACAACAACTGAAGATAGTGGCTTATGTGCCAGTTTTTTAATTATATAGTTAAAGTTTTTTTTGAAGAAAAAAGACAAGAAAATAAGCGACGCGGAAAAGTGTGGTGGCGAAATGATTAATCTAAACACTAGCAATTTTATTATTTTGCAATTAGGACGGAGTTAAGCCACCTACGGCAAAAACGAACTCGTGAACAATGTCGCCAAAACACACAAAGAAAGCTTATAGTAGTTCATTACTTTGGCATTTTGCACAGAACTTGCAGTCAAAAATCGCGCAAGTAGTTGTACCCGCGCGTGAATCTAAAATGTCTCCAAAATCTCTTGGGAGAGAGAGAGCTAGTGTCGGCGTTTCCCCGGTGTAAGTGGTGACCACTTAGCTGCGTGATTTATTGTACTAGACATTTGCAGTCGTTGTTGATCTCATTACTCTTATTCCTCCTTCAAGTGTGGGCCCTATAAACCACATAGAACACTCAGCAGTTCTTACGAGAGATTTGAGCCGACATTTCGTTTAAGTCGAATAGTCTAGCACCTAGGCAGTGCCCTTGAAAGATTTTAGAGTTACAGCCAGGTTCAATCCAACAAGTAGTGTGGATTGCACTAGAGACGACTCCAACTCTGTTTTAACCCCATCTTAAGGGATCTACCAGTGTCTAGCTAAGAGCAAAATCAAGGTTTAGTGCGCATGTCACAGAAGCGGACTTTCTATCGAAACCGAGGATATTTTCTTGTTGCGGAAACGATATTGCAGCAATAATTCCTGAAAGTATTGACGTACATCGTATTTGAATGACCTAAGGAGTTCCTGTGGCTACGCTTACACAAGTTCTTTTCGACAAAAACGTGTCAAGGTAATTTATATCACGCATTGCCCGTGCATTCACCGAACTTTACATAATGTCGCCAGACCTGGGTTTCATATGCTGTGTCGAAGTATTTCGCGGGCTGTGAGATATGAAGACCACTGGGTGAATCTTGGCCAAAACCAGGCTAGAAACACGAAGAGTCGTTTCCTTGTTTAGATTCCAGTATTTGGTGAAACACTTTACTGGTGTAACAACTTTACTTGCTAGACCTAGGTTGATAAATTACTGGTAACCGAACGCCCAATGCAAATTTTTAAGTCCCTTAAAAACAGAACACATCTTCTTTGCCATCCAAAAGATCGTTAAGCTTTCAAACTTTGGAAAAAAAATTGAAAAAGATTGTAATGCTTCTGAAATCGGGTCTTATGTGTTCGTAAGGGGGTTTCAGCTAACGAAATTTAGCGGTCAACTGTTCCCATCCGTTCGTTTCGTTTTGTGTTTTTGCTTAGTTTATTTCAATGCTTCGTCCTTAGGTTGGCCGATATGCACTTTTCTACCAAACTGTTTGTATCTCTTGTCCTACCGGCTGCCATCACTATCATCGTAAGTTTTTTATGGCTGAAAAAGAAGAACAAGGAGGCGGAAGAACTTGAGCAGCTTGAAGAAAAACCAGATGTAAACAGTGAGGGAAAGGAGAAAATCATCCCAGGCAAACACAAAGATGCCTCGAGCGAGAACAGCGAAGTTAGTGAGTTCAATGTAGACACGGAAGCTTCAGACTTGCACCATTTCCGGCTGGAAAAACAGCCAAGCACAACAGAAAGCACACAACAAGATTACGGGGTAGAAACGAAGCCGTCGACGAGTTCGGAACTCAAAGAATCTTCGGGCGGAGAAGAATCAGCTAGCGAGGGAAGTGTCGATAGTGGCACTCTTTTGAGTTTCACTGAAGGTTTCAATAATGGCACTCCACCTCTCGGCGAAGAGAATGCAAGATCCCGAAAAAGCTCAGACAACAGCAACAAAGACGTGTGGGAGATTGAATTCCCCCAGATTTTGTGCGGAAGATTGATAGGACGGAAAGGCAAAAACGTTCGAGTGATCTCCGAGAAATCTGGAGCGAAAATTCGATTGATTCCTCAGTCGCCAGGCGAAGTTTCAACGCATCGAATCATCTCAGTTACAGGAAACGCCACACAGATTCAAAGTGCGCTAGATTCTATTCACGAAAAGTTTCCCTGTGTACCCCTGACAAGGCTCAACTCTGCTGTAAACGGTACAGCAAACGCTGTACACGTTCAGCCCATGGTGACCGCTGCCATGCCCGTACAGGCCTTACCTTTCGTTCAAGCTATGCTTCCGAGCGTTGCTAACTTCGATGTGGTGGTGACGAGCGTAGCGGATGCTGGTCACTTTTTCGTGCAGTTGCATAACGACTTCATGCAAAGGCAGCTTCAAGACCTTCACCAGAACATGTTGCAATGCTACGGACAAGGGACAGCGCCATTGATTCTTCCTCTTCCACAACCAATTGTGGTGGGCTCGTGCTGTGCGGCGCCGGCATACACCTATAATGGCTGGTACAGGGCACAAGTTCTTGGGCCAACTGGTAATCCTGACGAAGTAGAGGTTAAATATTTGGATTATGGAGGATATGGAAGGATTGCTGCGTCGAGTCTCCGACAATTAAGGTGAGCAAGCGATTGTGTTACAAAGATGCATATGTGACCTCTGCCAGTCACTTTTTAATGCTTAGTCATTTGTTTTGGTTCAAACTTTCGCTAAACTGAAACCTTAGTATTTTACAGAAATTAGTTTTACATTTCTCTTCGGAAAACGCGAAGAAAACTACTCTCCACTTGATGATTATACAGTTGAGACACGAGTATTTCGCGTAAAGGGCTTACTTAACATTCCATGTCTTGTCAATTCAGTCCGATAAAATTAAGCCGAATAAAACTCAGACATCGATATTGAAAACTTTCTTTACAAAGCTTAGCTAACCCTTTTTAGGCACCGTGTATTTGAAACGTGTAGGCCTGGAAGGAAAAAGTAAATATGGCTCTCCTGCCACGTTCACATAAACGGCTCCTACTCATTTCCATGCTGTTTGAACATCGACTTCATTAAGACTAGCGATTCCATTTTCTAAGTTTTTTCCCCTGTTTTTGGCATACTTGAAGGGTGTAAATACTTCCGTGTCCATAGAAAGTTTAAATTTAATTTTTTCTTTGGCGGTGTTCCTCGAAAAGAAAGATAGTTAGGGCAAAATTTCCCACGCCTTCCACAATTTGGTCCTGAATAAGTCATTCTTATGTGCGCGCGTTCTTAAAACACACACCCCCTTGCTCTATGGTCACGAGTTTTAAAGGAGATATATTTTTATTTAACTCAGAGTTCATCAGTCTCAAGGTTACGATATGCTGGCTTTCATTTATGGTGATTAATTTAAAAAAATTCCGTGTTTGCCGGAACAACATCTCGAAGTTGTGCTTCTTCCATAACGATTCGCTTCCTTTCAAATCGTTTCTCTGTTAGCTGTTTCGTTGTAATTAAACAGGAACGCATTTCAACAGGAAATATAGCCTTAGATATGGTTTCGTTTACGTTTTTTCTCTGGTCTTTGATCCACTTGTGATGTATGACAGGTGGTTTAGATACCTCTGGTTGATGACTCCCACTTCATACTATTTAAAACAACAGGTCTTCTTCGATGACATCGTTTGGCAAAGCCGGCGGATAATTACGATTTTTTTTCAAGAATTAACTGTGCGTGCTGTGTACACTTTAATTTTTTTGGTAATCGCCTACGTGTAAACCGCACGGAGACCCTATATTTAATTTAAACATGAGGATATTTGCGAAAGACAATTCAGTGCTTCCACGACCAATGAAATTGAAATTTCGTGTATGATCAGCAGGTAAATTCTTCGTAGGATGTTGACATATTGTCTGGCAAATTGCTAATGAGAATGAAGATAATTATCTGATTAACATCAAATTCTCAGCAATAGCCTGCTTGGATACTTATAAAACTATATTGGGAGAATAATGTTTCCGATCGTGGACGTTGAAGGCCATGCAACATTAAGTAGGGAGTGTAAAAGAAATGTTTCCTTAACTAATCTGCAAAGTTTGTACGGGTTTGAATGGCTGTCAAAATCGATGAATGCTAGACAGATTTGGTCACATAAAGTGTAGAATAATATACTTTTCATAGTCTTAAACCTTTGGTTCACCAGTAAAAAGACAGAAAATAGCATAAGCGCTAAAAATTTTTCCCTTATAAAGACCTACTGTTGAAAACGTTTGTTTTTTACTTTTTTAAATTACATTTTCGCCTTGCAATGAAATAGCTCATTTTAAAACCTAGGAGAATTTCATGGATGAAACTCAAGACTTTCCAATAATTCTAATTCCTATGTTTTATTTCTTGTGCCATAAATTTAATTATCAAGTTAAAAAAGAAAGACGAAAAGTGGCGTGCAAGCCCATGAGAAGCCGCAGGACTTTTACATGATGGGCTTCCTCTACTAAATATTATAATCACAGTTTAAATGTAGAAAAGAAGCGAATCACTGGCGAGGAGAAAAATTGAGCGGAGCTAAAACGTAATTTGTAAGTCTTTTTTATAGGTATAAAGCATAATTACTCTGAAAACAAAATTAAACAATAAAAATCGAAAAGAGCGAGAAAAAATAATAAAATACATATTGATATATAATTGTACAGAATATGCTAAGTTTGTGATGGGAGGGATACTTCCAGTATCAACGTGAAAAATTCAATACTAGAAACATTTTGAATTTCAAATCACTTAGCTGCAGCATAAATCATAGTCAAGAAAGTGTCATGGCGTCATAGTAGAGAACAACTCGGAAGTCAGAGAGGGAACGAAACTTTTCGTGTTTGAGAGCCTTACATCTTGACGTAGGCTTGCTAAAACACGTACTTGCTATTAATTAAAATTCGAGAATTGAAGGTAAGGTGGGGGCGGGTTTTTTTGTTTTTTTTTTTGTTTTGCTTTTTCCTTCCCGAAACTGCCGCCTTTTTTCCGCTTTAATTTGCAGTATTATGTTTTGGGCTAAAAAAAGGCTTCACACCGGAATTTAGATTCGTAGGTAATTTTTTTGAGATAGTTGACCAGTGCGAGATAAAACTGTCAATTTTTTCATTTGATAATAGCTGACGCGGAAGAATTGTCGCCCCGGCATGAGCTCAAGTTCAATCTCAACGAATACAACAAGCATTGTTTAAGAAGGATGTGTATATTTGTCTACTTACTTAGGACTAAAAATAAAGAGACGTTTCTCTATTGAAGATCCTTCACACTTCCACTTCAATTTCTGACGTATGCATGACGTCATGGGTTTAAACCATTGATTAGGATGCTGAGTGAGGGGGGAGGAAGGGAAGAGATGTTCTATTGACAATCCCGCCTTTCTAGGGTCCAGTTTTTTTCATGGGTGATATGGTAAACCTTTCTTAATGCGTTTTCTTTAATCTGTCATCTAGTATCTATTGACTCGTTTGTTCTGTCTGTCAGCCTTCAACCTAGGTTTAACATTGAAAATCAGTATCCTTTGAAAGTTTTACTTTTATTTTATTTACTTTTTATAAAATTAATATTTTATTGGTAGGTGTGCGCACATCTCTCATGATAGTATCATCATGGTTGATGGATTACTTACATTGAATATTTAAACTCTTTAAGAGGGTGTGACATTGGATATTTAAACTCTTTAAAAAGATGTATGGAATTCATTCATCAGTTTGACTTTTGGTAAAGTTTTTGTCTTTCTGCTATCTTTGTGGAAGGTTTTGATGAAATTATCTTTGGTTCCTTTTCGCCTTATCATTATTATTATTACTATCATTATTATTATCTTTATTAGCTCTGTTAATAATATGATCGTTATTTTGTATCTTTCGTGTTAAACCGCGCCGAGCTACTACCCGCCAACCCCACAAAAAAAATTTGGACAGCTTCTTTAAATCACGTTCTATGTAAGTAAATTCTTTACAAACAGATTTGAGAATATGGGAAAATTTCCACTTGTTAATGTTGTTGTTTTAATTTTCAGGGCTGATTTTCTGACGCTGCCTTTTCAAGCTATCGAATGCTACCTTGCTAACGTGATCCCACTTCAAGGTTGGTGGTATTCATGCGTAGTCAGTTGAAGTCAGTGGAACATAATTCCAGCACTATCCCTAAAAATCCAATACCATTTCAAACGGAATGGTGATCAGATGAAAGAAAATTATTGGCTAGGGAAAACTGAGTGATCTAACACCTAATTCCAAGACCTTCAATCTAAAAATCTTTGACAAAAAGCTAGAAGAATTGCTATTAAGAACTTGGGAGTAAGAGAATGAATTTTTTTTCTCTTTTACCCTTTTCTTCCCTTACTGTACAGGTTATCATGTACTAACTAACTTATAACCATTTTCAGGAGACACGTTTTCAAGCGTGGCCGGTGCGGTTTTGGAGGATTTAACAATGAATGCTGTGTTAACTGCCCGCGTTGTTGGTCACAGAAGCGGTTTGCCATGCTTGGAACTGTACCTTGTGCAAGGACAGCAGGTACACACTTAGTGTGATCTGATGAGTTACTCTCCCTCGGAGCCAATTCTTATTTCCTTGCAATTTAGTTGGGAGAAATTGTTGTCAAATCAAGATAACTTCCTTTGGCTGACGACATAATTTATTCGGAAAACTTTTTTTACCAGACAATAAATTAAAATTTCGAGGATAAATTAGACGTTTTTCACTTGTCGAAGTCTAAAGATAACGTTTAAAACTAGAACCTGAGTGCGCCAAGAAAACCCCATGCTTCATATTGTATCTCTGGCATATGCGTTTGTTTTCATTCTTTAAATACTGGAAGTTTTTGTTTGTTGGTCTGTTTTTGTTGTTGTTATTTTCTAACGTCTCAGTTTTTTCAACACAACTGCTTTTCTACAATGACAGTCACTTTAAAAGTGGAGGAAGGGGTTATGGGTAAAATTCTTTAGCACAATCCACCCTTCTCCAATAGCGAATGGTTTATTTACCATATCAATCTCAAATCAACACGACTCAAATTCTGATCAGATTGTCAGACTTATCGACATACCGACTGACCAACAAACCGACCGAGCGTCAAACAGACAGAAAGACAGACAGAAAGAAAGACAGGCAGATACATAGACAGAAAGACAGACAAATAGACAGACAAACAGAAAGACAGACAGATCGACAGACAGACAGACCCAAGTTACTAACGACTGACTTATGGCAAGCTGGTCAATCATTAAATGTTTCACTTGAGTAATGCATTCACTGATAAAGTTATCTGAATGAATTTTGTTTAACTTTTCAGACAATCCTGATAAACCGAGAGCTGGTAAGCCGGGGCTTAGCTCGGTGGGCGGAAACTTGAGGAACAGGGCACAATGAGCTACGCGACATTACCTTATCCATCGGTTGGAGCTGTTAACTGCTTGTTGGGCATAATCAGTAATTGTCTCCGATGAATACCGTGGGGAACCAGCAGTTTTATTTGGTTGGAATATTTGGAATTTTGATATGGTATGAATGGGAGAATATGAAATAAATGAATGGAAAATTGGGAACGGAGTTAAGAAGCTCATGGAAAAAATTGAGTTACGAAAGAAACTACTTCGATATCGCCTGAAAATATCTTCGGTAGATGGCGTAAATTTATTGTACAGTGTAGAGGTGTATAATATTGTTAATATGCCTTATTTACCTTCAAAATGAAGGAGTTTTTACTACTTGACAAAGTCGTTGCTTTATGAGTTCTTTCGTACCGAAAGGCTACCTGTACAAACGGTAGGTTATTTTTGGAGATTTCCAGAGATGGCCACACGCCTAAAATATGTATTTTGCCTCACAATGTCATTCGTTCTCTCGATTTTCCATTTTAAAATTGAATTATCTACGATTTATTTTATGAAATTCACTTATTATTAACGCCTTGATAAAAATATCTACACGCACGATATAATCAGTAGAGTATTTTATTAGAGAAAAATGGCAGTGATATTTTAGCCAAAGTAAATTATATTTACGGTATTAATAGAATTACACGTAAGCTATAGTTATATTAATATATTAAAATAAATGGGTAATGTTTTATTTAGGCCAGTCCAAGTACTGCTTCTATTAACAGATGGGAAGTCTGCTCGACTTAAAAATTTTAATTACAAACGACCAAACTGCGAACAGTCAAGGTTGTGGTTCATTGAAAATGTTAAGATTTCTGTAATTACCACATGAAAATCTTTAAAGCTTTATCAAAATTTAGGAACATTTTTTTAATTGTTTGCTTTTCCATTTATTAGGACTAGAGATCTAATATTTGTGATATCTTTGAACGTCATAGCTTCGCGGCCAATTTCCGCCAATCATAATTCAGTCATGTTGCATTTTTAACAGCCCTTGTAAGTTTTATTGCTGGTTTCCAATCCAACAGTGATCTCAAAAGCTGCACTGAAAAGGCTCCTAATTCGAGTAATGAATGACCTTGAAAACCAGGTCATCCAAAGCAGAACTGTCAGAAATAGAGACTTTCCCTTACACGACCTTTTTAATAAAGAATATCGAACGTTATTATCGAATAAGAATTTTTTTGGAAACTTTTTGCTGTGAAGGTGAATATTACAGTAGCACAGTCAGAAGGAATCAAGTCAGTCCACCTGTAACGTGGAACCTTGAAATCAATTTAAAAGCTACTCGCATATCTACTGAGTTTTCAGTAACCGTGGAGTCATCATTTTTTTTGTTAAACAAAAGTCTGAGAAATTTTTTTTAGTTCAAATGAACACGTTTTTTTAATCACCGAGGATTTAAAAAGCAATTTAAGAGCCATTTTTTGAAAATCAAAATGGAATAAAATTTAACAAAGCTCAGACGCCGCACCCTTTAGGTGGGTGTACACTCTGGTAAACACAATTAAACTAAGTCACTTTTTCAATCACCAAGGATTTAAAAGCAATTCAAGAGCCAATTTTTTTTAAAATCAAAATGGAATAACATTTTACAAAGCTTAAAAGCCGCACCCTTTAGGTGGGTGTACACTCTGGTAAACACAATTAAATTAAATCAACTTCATTACCAAATTATCGTGTAAGATAAAAAATGTTCGAAAAACTTCAAGTAAGTGAAAAACAATGCTTTTAAATTTGTCACATAAGCGTGATACTCTTTTCATTGAAGGAGAGCTGGTGTAGTCACTAGCATTAAAGGCTCACCACTTTAGGAGGATTTAAGAAATCAAGCTTTGAGGAAATATCATGTAAAATGAGCTTTCAACAGACTGAGTTGTATGCGATAAATAATTCTCTTTCTTTTTTCTATTTCTAGATGTTTTTCCAAAGGTTGCCTGATTATTAAGAGTTTACCTTGCAAAATTGTTAATCTTTAGAATAACTTGCGTTTGCCACGGTTATAGCTGTCACTCAAAGTTGCCCTCCGATAAGTAAAGATTTTGGAAAGATTACTACCTAGCAGCGACTGAAGACATGCACAGAAACGGGATTCTAAAAAGAATTTGTCTCGCTCTTTTTATTTTTCAATACGATTTGTTTTTAATTTGTTTGTTTGTTTATTTTTTTTTTCCACTTCAGTTTGTATATCGTCACACCACTTTTTCTACGGTACGATAGTCAGCGAGTCGATCACCAAATTATTGTAAATTCGTTCTCTATGATTTTCGCTTGAGCACTCTCTTGCCATCATTTGTATTTATCTACTCACAAACATAATTTTGTTGACACTCGTTACTTCTTGTGTACTCGTGCATTATTTTCTCGAGTGTTATTTTGACTCGTGTGCATCGCTGTCTTTGACTCCTGTTCAATAATTTGGACTTGTGTACTTTTTTCAACTCTCTTGTAATCACAGTGTATTTGACTCTTGAGTACCTTCATTTGCTCTTGTGCATCATTTTCGAATTGTGATTACTTTCGTCAACTCCCCGGCTTGCGCACTCTCGTTGGCTCTTGGGCACCCTCGTCGACCTGTCATGTGCTCGTTTACGTTCTGGTAACACTTTTCTTTCTGTTGGTCGATTCTGTTGTGCACCTTTAATGGTAGTTGTGTGCTTTCGACAACCATCATTTACTCTAGTGGATTCTAGTTCATTCTGAAGAATTGCAATGAAACTTTCAAAGACTCCTAAAATTTCCAAAATTTCGTTTTATCTAGTGTTTAATAGAGCCTTTTCAATACAATCTGTTAGCAAGATGGCGTAATAAAATAATCAAAAAGGTCATTGTAGTATAGAAGAAATTCACGAGACTCTATAAGAATGGAGGACGGTGGAATAAAAACAAAAAATGCTGCCGCTATTTATTAATGCTTAAATTAGTGAGAATCCTTTTTCAATTTTTCTGTTATTGTTTGCTATGAGACATTTATTTTTCCTTCATGTTTTTAGTGCCTTAGTCGAGACAGATCATAATTTTAAAACGTAAGTACTTTAGTGAATCTCTGAATAAATGAAAGTATTAAGAATGAAGCGTAAACAATATTTAAAGAACTTGTTATTTAAGAATATTAATTTAAAATTAATAATTTAATTATAAATAAATGATAATTTAAAATGTAATGTGTTGTTAAACTGCAGGGATGCTAAAATAAATAAATGGTTGGAAGTGAGAACTTGTCGGAAACCAGTCTTTACTAATCCAGTTCGCCTCCCTGGAAGCTGCTAAATGGAACAGTGTATTATATGTCTTGTGACATTTCCAAAAATGGAAAGTTTTATCTCAGGGTGGTAGGGAGGGGGAGTAGTCTTCTCTGGCTACCACGAGATTGTTTACCAGAAGATGTCGCAAAATACTCTTTTAGGTGACAGAAAATCGTTTTAGAGGCGTTAGGGTTGTCCTTCATCGATTTCACTCATGCGATATACCAAACAGATTTTTGGGTGATTTTGTTTCCAAGTAAGCGATTCAAATGAAAGAAATCTTTGCCATAAATATCAAAGCTAGGGTTCCCATCATTTTTCAGATCGGTAACCTATAAGTATACGACTAGCAGCCCCTTCCCCTCCCCCTCCCCACGCACATCTTCCCCATCGAAAAGACTGAATTCTGTGTGCAATAAGTGCGGTTTGAACTTTTTTGTTGTGGTTTTCTTTTTTTTTTTTTTAAATAATCCATAGTATATCGGCGATTTTGCTCCATCTCCTAGTGGGTTATACCATGCGCGATGTTGGTGAAAATTCCGAGCCGCCTAAGAAGTGTTTCAGTGTTACCGGCCTCCTCATTTTACCTACAGTCTCTGTTGGAGCCTCGCGGGAGTCCTGAATGTTTTGAAGTTATATTTTAATTAAAAAGACGACTTAATTTTCACCTAGGACAAAGTAAATTATTACTTCATCAGTTTTCTTAGTTTTAGCGTTCACAGTCAGAGAATTTCGGGTTCTGAAAGTTGAACGATTTGTTGATTATGTAGAACCATTCATTTGGCATTTATTTTTTTATACCTTGGAACGATTTCCACATTTCCATAATAATTAAAAATGCTGGAGTACAAGTAATGAAACTTTTTCCAAAAAATATTTGCTTCGAAGCGAAGCTAAGAGTACTATAGCTATCAAACGGGAATAGAAAAAGCCAGCAGGCGGGCGAGTTGTTTTTTCACACCCGCTAACTTCCGCGCATCATTTATCAGCCAGCGGGAGTCGTCGCGCATCAGTGACGCCTTATACATGGTGTAAGCACGTGGCTAAATATTTCTAAATTTGCATTGTAAATCGTTGCGTGAGGTACGCAATGTTTTTAATTTTACTGAGTCAATATTATCTATTTTTCCCCGAGGTAATAAAAAGAAGAGGTATTTCCCTAGCCGTAAATTCGCGCTTATGGACGCAGAGACGATATACCTCGTGGTTATCAAAGCATTACACAAACCAACAAACTTAACAGTCAAATAATATTAACATAGATTCGTTGATAGACAGTGATTCGATCGAGTTTAATGACACCGCTTTAGAGAAGCCTTTTGTCTGAGCAAACACGATGATCAATCGTTGTCAATAATGCGAAGCTCTCTTTTGTCGCAAAGATTTGTTGCTAATAAAGTGAACGGAAACTAATCTTGTATTAATGACTGTCAAAAACAAGCTATTCTTTTACAAGTGAGCAAAACTACCAGTTTACACCCGAAAAAAGTGTACGATAAAGATCTATACCGTGCCTTAAAGTTTGAGGAGGAAAGCAAACAGTTTGAGGATGCTATAACGAAGTAAACGAGGCGTTGAAAAACAATTTACCGAAAGTGAGAAGAGCGGTTTCGTTCAACCTGCTGAACACCTAAGACAATGAGTAAAGAAAATTATGTTATGTTAAAATGATTCGACATCCTTTCTTTCTATACTGAATTTGCATTTCTCGCTCAGGTAACAAAGACCCATGAAATTGTCTAAATACCTGGCGCGATTGGTTCGTTGTGTGTGTTAATTATTTAAGCTGTTAATTGCACTTTATTCGGCTTATCAACCTCTTCACGTCACAAAGGCAAGCTTCGCTGAACTGCCATGAAATATTAATGTCCTAGAGCATTTGAACCGTCGCTTCTTAGTGATAAAACGCTATTTTGGGTATACAGATGTTTGTTGGCCTAGCTACAAGCAATTGCGAATCGCGTTTTCCTATCAATCATCCTCTGTCACAAGCGAAGGTATAGAAGATGAGGATTTTTGTGCTGTTCGACGGAATCAGACATTTACTAGACGTTGAAGTTGGGCAAACGGTGAGCGAGATAAAAGGCACTCTTCGAAAGAAACTCGATTTAGATACGGTGCAAAGCGAAGATAGCGAGAACGACATGCTTATGGCGATTAATTACGCGGGATCCAATTTAGAAGACGATTGGGTTTTCACGGATATTAGTATTCCACCGGGTGCAACACTGAGATGTGAACTGCTAGAAAATGTCAAAACTTATCTTAGTGTCACCTGTTCGCATTTCAACGAAACGCTTAAGTTTACAGAATGGTTTGACGTTTGGGAGACAAAAGTGGGACATTTTAAAACAATGATTACAGAGAAGACAGGGTTACACGTCAGCGTGTTTCGCCTCGTTTCTTCAGAGGGAAAAGAGATGTACGATTGCCATCCATTGAAGAAATATTCTGTCGATTACGGTGACACGATTCGTTTGGAGACATGGAATGGCTGGGGTGCGTTCCTAAAATCTGCTACGTCAGGGCAGTTAACTCCGACCATAAAACACATGGTTAGTATTCATGATGATCCATTGGTATTTAAGTACCAGCTTCGGGTAGCGCTGTTCATCGCGGCTCATTTCAATTACACGCAACTCGCCACTCAACTGATCAAGAGCGGGGCGAGATGCGATGAACCTGTCGGAGAGCACCCAGTGCGAGAGTGGTGCAACAAGGAAGTGCATCCTGATCATTTAAAGACTCCAGTTCACGAGGCCGCACAACACGGCAGCCTTAATTGTCTACAGAAATTTATCCATCACAATTACGCCTGCATCCTTGCCAAGGACGCACACGGTCTGACACCGTGTAATATGGCACGAAGGTACAAGCAAACTGAGTGTTTTAAGCTGCTTATTGCCGAGCAGTTCCGCTCTCGAAGTACATGCGGTTTGACGTTGGGAATATACTGGCGCGTGCGAAAATGGTGTGAACGCGCTCGGGATAGGGCTATTGTCTTTCATAAACATTCCCCTAATCCCCTTCTGTTGGCAATGGAAAATAGAACGTACCGAAGTGCCGTGGTTGGGCAAAAGGTTCAAGTTGACGGCTTCGGGGAAAATATGCAAAGTGGCACCTCAAAGATACAGCTCTCTTTGGCACTCAAGAGTGTGAAAAATAAGCCAACGGCAGGTGGACAAAGTAATACAAGTTTGAGATCAATACTCAGTGACAAAAATGGTAATTCCTCAGGAAGTAGCGAAATTTTGAGTCTTCGTGAAAGCGGCGAAAAAGACGACAGAGCCGATTCAGGAAACTGTTCAAGTGGATCGAGCGAAGAATCGAACAGCGACCGAGCGACTTGTGTGGATTGCTTGCTACCGTCTGTTTCGAAACAGCGTAGCCATAGCGATATTTCGAAACTGGAAACATCCATAAAACACAAGTTGCAAATTAAGAATGCGAATCAAGAAAGACGCACAGCGAATCAACGTAAAGCGTACAGATGGAAAGAGAGAGAAGACAACGAAATCTTATGTTTCTGTCAGTCGTCGAAACATCACAAGGATAAACAAACCGGCAGTGAAACAAAAAACGATCAGCGTGAGAGCATGCCACTGATTTCGACAAACACAAGCCTGGTCGGAGTAAACAAAAGTGATAAAAATATTGATATTGAAGTTATCGATGAATCGGGAAACCGAAGTGCCCATGACTTTTTCGTCACGCAAGGGGTTGCGGTGAGCTCGCAAAAACGGCCTATTGAGGCAGAAAATACTCTAAAAGAAGAAACAAACAAATCAGTTGATCGAATACCGCCTATTAAACTGCCTGGTGGTAATTCAAGTTTAAATCATACGAGAATAGAGGACATCCCCTCGACAACAAAATCGGCGAAGAGTTCTAAAAGCGACGGCGTGCTTATCAAGCAACGCCGTAGAACTCGGTCTCTTAATTCAACGCCTAAACGCCTTCACAGCGCAAACCAACGTCGTCGAGCAACCTCCAGCGAGGATTTGAGCCTGCAGTTGACTCGCATGTACAGCAAGGTCACCGGACAAGATATGCACGAAGCGGCGAAGGAAAGCATGGGTGTTGCAATGACTTTTAGGAAGAAACGCTGGTTGCAGCAAGTTCACATGGCAATCGAGCTTAACAATAACAATTTTAACAGACAGCTTCACGGGTACAAAGGAAAGAACGGAGCGGGCCATGTTTCTTAACATCATGGCCGGAATAAAAAGAAAAGTTTCATTTCGAACAGATTATACTCACAAGAAAATATATAAACAAAATTTTGTGGGAAACAAACAGAAATAACTAAAAAAAATTTTAGCATAGTTAGCGGATTTGAGAATTACGTTTAATGAAAACGCTGAAGGGAAGATTTGAAATGCCCGACTTATTGTGTATTGACAACACAAAAAATATTAATGATTGCATTCATTGCTAAAAGACAGGCAGCAAACTTAAATTTTTGCCATATGCTAGTTGAGTGTACGTGTTTTAAAATCATTCTGTTCTTATACAAAAATACTTACTTTAGCCATTTGACAAATTTTCGACAAATACAAGGAAAGAAGGTTCCAGGAATATGTATCTGAGAAAAGTAAATGAATGTTATTACCAAACAATCTCTCGCCAAAACATTCACCATAAATGAAAAACAATTTGTCTGATATTTACATGAATTTGAATTGCTATCAGACAGTATTTACCTTTCAAGCGGGCAGTGAGCTAAAAGCTACTTTGTTTTTTTCATACATCTCTAAAACTTACTCCTAAAAGGTTTCGAAAGGTTTTTAATACAACTTGGCGAGTGTTGGCGCGCTACGAAGCCTTTCTATCTATAAACGAGTTAATTAGTAACGGCCTACCAAGGAGCAAATAATGTCTCCAAATGAGTGACTGTTGCAGATAAATGGGTGATTGCTTTGTGTAGCTCTCAAGAATAGCGGTCTCACAGAGTAAATGACGATTCTTTTATCGTCTCCTTTGAGTGCTTAAAAATAGCCTCATTTTCTTAAAACGCCGCAAGGAAGGCTTAAATATAGTGCATTTACAAAATGCCTCCAGCCATTGTTCGACTCAACACATACTCGTTTTAATAAGGGTCTTTTGCCCTCAGAATTTGAACAAAACTATTTTTATCTTACATAATAGTGTCATATGCAGATAAAGGACAATAAATTACTACTTTACCTATTTACAGCGGAATATTTGCGTCGAATCTTCTTAATAAATTTGCCTGTCCCGCCAAAGCAGCCATGTTTACATTCACTATCGTATCCAGTGCTTGGCGTTATGTAACATCACGTGGCCGCTTATCAAGAAGAATTTACTCGTGGGAGGGGTGAGGTTCTTTTGTTCTTTTTGTTGCCCTTTTGCCTCCCTTGATGTGTTCTAACTAGAAATTATAAACTAGTACTGAATGTTTCTATTTTTTATTAACCTGCGTAGCAAGAGGGCTTTATTTCTCATGATGGTAGCCTTTGAAAATCTAGAAGCTACATAGGCTTTTTCTATTTGTATAATGGATAAGAGCGGCGCTAATACTTGCTCTTGCAGGGGTATCCCTAGTTAAAGTTAGACATATTTTTTTTGCTGGTTTTCTTCCAACAATTTGAGTCAATACTGTCCGTACCAATATCTTTTTGTCACTATTTTTTTGGAAAACTTGGAGGTAACTCGGTTCTAAATGATCAACAAATAGCTTTATATGTAATGAATAAAAGGTATCCACTCAGGCTAAAAACGCATACTGATCTAATGTAGCGAACACTGCACGCTCTCGACCCACTGTAGACGGGTGGGGCTAGAATCAAAGAGGGGTGGTTATAGTTAGAGGATAAAAACTTCTCGGAAACACTTCAGGTGCGATGCGATGTCTCTCCTCGGAATGACACGCAAAAGGTTGAACAAGCTCACAGGCTAAGAACATCTATATTAATCCCTTACATTGCAGAAAGGCTAAATTGAGCGCGATAAGTTAAATTGATTGACAAGAGAGTTGCAAAAGCACAACACAACAAACAGAAATAGAACTCGCCCCCAATTAGGCTAACCTTTAGAGCATTTAGTGGTGCTGATTCATTCCAAATCGGTACCAAATAGAAATCAACTATGGTGAGCCTCACTCCCGTCCCCTTCCCAGAATCCATTATGCACGTGACTGGACACTCCATCTACAACAACAATCAAAGTAAAAGGTGGGGCACTAACCACTATGAGAATATCATTCCAAGAGAAACGCTTGAATGATTGAAAAAAAAAATTGAGAAATTATATTCTTTATTTCATTCGATTCAATTTCCAAATTGTTTTGGCACAGCAATCAATTAAAAAAAAATTCTAAACCATATCGGTTTTTGGCATTGTAGTAAGTATGTATAATTCCAAGCTATCTTCGTTCGTTTTCCACTCGTGATTGGCAATTATAAATATAACGAGAAGTGTTGTCATAATTACAAAATAATTCACAGACTTTCTTGAATAATGAGTGTGCATATTTCTCGCGCGTGTACTGCAACTCGCCTACGATAAAAAGTAATTTAAACACTTTTTAACTTTTACTAAAATAAATTATAAGGTTATCTTAATGATAAAATAAATTATTTCACAGAGACTAGAAGAGTGTCACTTTGCACGTTTAAATCCTAGTTCACGAAAGAATAATTTAATTTTTCGGAAGAAACGTCAAAGATTGTTAGTTCAAAAGTCAAAAAAGATGGTTTAGGCTTCCGAGTTAGTGCGGAAAAGAAGAAAATATGATTTTTTTCTGGAACATGACGCTCTGCTCATTCAAATCAGATAAAGCAGCTCTCCCTCCGGAGTTTCAGAAGTTCTTCATCTGTACTAGACATTGAAACAATGTCATCATCAAATGTTAACGCAACGACTTTTCCCGCCAAAGTTCCAATTTTCTCTTCGTAAGATCCATTTTCCGAAGCACCGAGAACCTCCCCTGAGATGACACCCGAAGGACTGTCTGCGTCATCATTCGGAGCAACATCCGCCATTATGGTTGCTATTTTTTCTCCGGTTGCACAAGACAACACATCTATTGAAGCGGTAGCAACATGTCCTTGCGACGCCGCCTCTCCAGACACAGCCAAAAGGTCTCCTCGAAGGGTGGCTAGATGGACACTTGATTCATTATCAGTAGGTGTAGAAGTGACATCTCCCTTGATGATCCCGATCTTTTCCCCTGGTTTGGGTGTGGTCGCGTCCCCGTCTATTCTTGGCACACGGTATACAGATCCGGTAAGCGTAACATTTTGTTCCCCCTGTGGATCATCTATGGAGCCTACAAGAACACTCGCGCTTAAGGTGCATATACGCCCAAAAACCGTCCTGTTTCCCTTCAACGAAGCCTCGTCGGTTGATTCGGCAAGAGGGGCTGCACTTTGTTTATTTTCAAGCGCTGAATCCTCCTTGGAAGGATCTGTTTGTTCCGTAGCTTCGACAGGGGCGGACGTGGAGTCGTGCTTAAGGTTATCACCAGAACTGTCTTCTCCACCGGGAGATAAAAGAACCTCTTTAGTGACTTCAATCGAGTGTTTAGTATTTTCTGTCGTAGCAGGTAATACGGAATCTAACTCCTGAATTAAAGCATTCACCTCACTATCCGAAGGTAACGTGGAGTGGTGACTTGAAGCTGTACTAGATCGTTTGGTTTGATTAACAGGGGGTGCATTTTTAATCTCGACAGGTAAACTAGCATCACTGGCAACTCTTTGTTGGGTTAAATCAGTTTCCGCAGCCTCTTCATCCCCGTCAGGAGAAGTTCCACTGACACCCTGAGTCTCATCTTGTGAGGGATCCTCTTCATTCTTGCCAGGTATGTTGACTTCACCGGCGACTTTCTGTTGCACTACACTAGTCTCAGCCGCATGTGTATCAGCAGTGGCACTTTCCATACTTATCTCATTTGGCACAGGAACCACATCTTTGTCACCAAGAGCTGTACTTTGGGTCTCGGTAGCTTCCTCCTCATTCAAAGTAGCTTTGCTTTGAGACGCACAACCATCCGAAGCAGGCGATCCTTCCTTCTGTGGCTCTTCCTTATCATTCGTAACCTGAGTCACATTGTCTGTGGCATCTGTTGCAGAAAGATTTTCAACCCTGGAATTTCCTTCAGAAGGAGGTGGTTTATTATTACTGGGACCATCAGTGTCAACCTTTTCATTAACTTCCTCACTTGTGTTGTCTGAGTCTATACTGTTGTTCGCACTTCCCTTTGGAGAATCACCACGAGGAACATGACCATTGGCAGAGGAAGGCGGAGACACAGATTTACCTGTCTGCTTACTGGATGACTCTCCTCCTACAACCAAAGTGTAAAGGTGTTTTCAAATATTTCAAATCATGGATGGTAATTTCTTATTTATTATTATTTTTTAAATTATTGAACTCCCGTTTCAAATTTACAGCGTCACTACTCAGAGGTGACGTATCATTCAAGTCAATCGATGGTGTGAAGTCGGTAGCATACGTGTAGCCGTACCCATTCCCTCCCACCCAAGGTGAAACGGAAGCGAGGGACGTTCCCTCCCCTCCGTTTCACCTTAGCAGGAGGAGGAGGGTACGGCTACACGTAAGCTATAAAGTAGGATGCATCTAGGAGATCTAAAGAGGTGCATCTCTGCTGATCGTCATGCGAGTTTGGCGAGTATGCATGCAGTTTCGAGTCCCTCGCGCACACTACACTCCTACTCTGTATCAGTCAATAACTCTAATTAATGACTCCACCTTTTCAGAAGCAGTCAAGAGAACTGTAGCCCATCAAAGGCTATAAGTCAGAAAAGAGGGGCGAAATAGAAGCGGGCGGTCAATGCAGTTCTCAATTTTTTTTAACGCAGACACCTTTTCGCTTGTGTCCTCAGACCGAGTGCCTGGTATAGGATTGGAAAACTACGTAATGGATGTATGTCGGACGCGTATTGAACGCGTGTCCGTCTAGTATGAGGTCTCTGACTAGAGAGCTGTCCTTAACCCTTTAACTCCCATGATCTGATTGTTAATTCTCCCCTCTAGCTGCTACACATTTACTTTTATATTAGTCAAGAGAACTTGGTTTGAAATCAAGAACAAATTCTTCGTGATAAGCTTTAGTATTCTCATTTCTTGTTTGCTGGATGGTGTAAGAATATTAAAGGGAGAAGTTATCGCTCAATCACTTATGGGAGTTAAAGAGTTGATTTTTTTTCTTACCGTTTCCACCATTCTCTGTTATTCTCTGTGCATGTCCATTGCTTTCTTTTACTGAAGAGCGGGAGGATGAACTCCGTTTAGAAGTCGACTGGATAGCTGTAAGAATAATTTTCCAACATTTGTTTTAAAAGAGGATAACTAAGTCTCTTAACTTTTCAAGACTGATCAACAAGAGATTTCTCCTTCAAATTTTAATGATATCATGACTCCTGTCGGTAAGGTATACGTTGAGTTACTGTTAGTAGAAATCTGAAAACAACTGCTTTTATTTTGACTTACCATTTTCATCCTCTTCTTTTATTCTCTTCAATTTTGGAGCTGGCTGTGGAGAAACTGCCAAAAGTAAAGGACAAAGTAGTAAAAAAAAAATGAAAAGTTTGAATTCAAACCCAACCTAAGTGGCCCATTCAGCCAGAACTTATCCCTGTTTCTGTAGCAAGAAGTGATTATGTTTGCACCTTTCCCTGACTAGGATATGAGCAAGGTTACCACTACCCCCACCCACCCCCCCCCCCAGCATATGAGCCAACTTCCCCTAAGCAGACTTAAAGACTTCCCCCTACAATTTTTCAGTAGCCATTAACACTCCTGGGTGGAGACTGAGTGCCACTGAGGAAATAAAGTGTCTATCCCATGAACACATGATAGCATAATGACCCAGTCATCACTTACTTAACTCAAGCAGGCAAAGAAAACATGAGGGCTGGGTTCAAACCCTGGCCAAGGCCATTAACCTCTTGCAACCTAACATGGGTCCCCATATTCTCAAAACTGTTCTCTATACAATTCCTATGGTGCACGAGAGGAGAATTTGATAAACAGTCAAGAAGTTCTTTACTTGGAAAGCATTCCTCTATTCACGTGTTTGATTCAGCAGAAGTCGGTATGGGATGTATGGGTATATCAGATCTCCTCAATACTGTAAGGACACTTAATTAAAGATGCCAATCACTCTTATAGGTTAGAAGGTATAGGGTTCTATTCTTGGGCAAGACTCCCAAACCATAATGTGCCTCTCTCCAGAAAGAGAAGTACAAGTTGGTGTTGGCAAACTGTTGGGGAGATATGA